AGGATCACTGGCCTTCTTGGGCCTTTCCCCCTCTCCTTCCTCCTCCCCCTCCTCCTCCCCCTCCTCCTCCCCCTCCCCCTCCTCGTCCCCCTCCTCGTCCCCCTCCTCGTCCCCCTCCTCCTCCTCCTCCTCCTCCTCCTTCTCCCTTACACTAAGGATCACTGGCCTTCTTGGGCCTTTGTGATGTTCTTCCCTTTGCCTGAAACCCCACGTCCTGGGGCTCAGAGAGGCCTTCCCCAACTCACAGCCTTGAGGAGTACCCTGCTTCCCTCTCACTGCCATGGCACCTTGTTCTTGTCTTCCACAAATTATTAAATTGTATACTTTTCTTTTGCAAATACATTTCATATTTTAAAGTACTTATCAGTAAATACGCCCTTCTTTTCCTTTTTTAAATTAGTTTTTTTTTAAGCCAAAGGAATACATACACAGAATTTAAAAATCAAATTATGTCAAGAGATTTTTCATGGCAGGCAGCTGGCCCTGATCACGTCCCTCCCACCCTGCAGAGATAACCACTTTCAACTCTTGGCTGTTTCTCCTTGCCCTTCACCCAAATAACATACCCAGCTTCTACTTTCCCCCCAACATTTTATTACAAAAATTTTCAGATGCATACCAAAGTTGAAATAATTTATAGCAAATACCCATAAACCCACCATCTAGACTCTACCCTTAACATTTTGTTATATTTGTTCTATCACATAACTTTTTAATTTTCCATCCTTCTACCCATCCATCATTCCATCTTACCTTTCCGTGCATTTCCAAGTGAGTTGCAGATGTAAGTACATTTCATCCCTAAACACTCCACCAAGCATATCATTAGAATTCACTATTTGCTGCTAGTTCCTTTTTTCCCCCTTTTGAAATAGATTTTCCGTGCAATGAAATGTGCAGATCTCCGGTGTAGCAATCCATGAGTTCAGACCTAGGCAGACAACTATGTAACCAAACCAAACTATGACCCTTAGTCAGACCTTTACGTTCCCCTGGGGAGTTTCCTTACGCACCTTCTTGGTAAGTACTGACTGCTACCCACATAAAGCAGGTGGCTACTGTTCTTTCTTCTTTATTTTTTTCCACTCTCTTTTCTGACAGAACTATTTTTGACCTTGTCTAGCAGTTTCTTATTATGGCACGAGTCTTAGCTCATAACTTTCAGTTCCCATAATATACTTATATCACACTTTAAAAAATTAAATCAATACTCTTCTTACAAAAGAGTAAGTAAAAACGGTTCACTCCCGAGACAGTACTATACTCAATGCTGATTATGTTTCCTTTCTTGTGCAACTTTATGCTTTTCCTCATTTTTGACTTGCTTTTCTATACCTGTCTCATAATTTTTTCTTTATGATTCAACAGAACTGGGAAACCTCTGTTGCTTTTATTTGTCATATGAGCGAGTGTATCAAATAATCTATAACTTACTTTTATTATTTTTTTTTCCAGGGAGACTGCCCTCCAATCTCTTGAGGGTGGCTCCCTGCTGCTCCCTTTCTTGAAGCTTTTAGGAGCCTCTCATCTCTGGTGTCTGAAACGTCACGATCATATGCCTTGGAGCTTTAATGACCCTTCATTCTGGAAACCAACATCTCTCAGTATGGGGAAATTTTCTTCTATTATTTCTTTGATAATTATCCCGTCCATTTTCTCTAAACCTTTCTAGAATTTCCAACGGTCAAATGCGGGACCTTCTGAACTGATCCTTAGTGTTCTCATTTTCTCTCCCATTATCTGTCTTTCTCTTATTCTCTTTCTTTCTGTTCCACTTTGGGGGAAATGTCCTCTATTTTATCTTTCAGACCTCTTATTGAATTCTGAAATTTTGCTATCATTTTTAATAGCCAAGAGCTTTTCTCTGTGCTTTGATTTTATATATGGTATTTGTATATGCTTATAGTTTGTATCTATCTATCTATCTATCTATCTATCCATCCATCCATCTTTCTCCCACTTTATTTCAGGTGAAAGGTCTGCTTTTATCTCTCTGAGAATATTGATTGTATATATTTTTGAAGTTTTTTTCTATTTCTGACTGTGTCTGTTTCTTCAGAGTTCCTTTCCTTTTTTTTTTTTTTTTTTTTTCTTCCTATTTTCTTGTCTGGTCTTAATGGTGGAGGCTTTCCTAGAATGTCTGGTGATCCTCAGTTGTCCATATTTAAGATTGTAAGTCATTAGAAAACACCTGATCGGCAGCTCTATGGGCATGGCTGGGTCCTGTTTACTGGTGGGATTCACCACAGAGGGAATGGACAGGGCGCTGGCTTTTTCTTCAGGGGACACTCAGTATTGCCCTTTACCCTCTTTGTCCATTCAGTTTTTCCAGAGAAGAATTCTCTTGACTCTGTCAGGGGTGACTCCGGCAGGGGTGAGGGATGGAAGTTCAGGGATATCCAGGCTGTTGCCATTATGAATGCTCAGTTGGGAATGGAGAGTGAGGATCTCACTGTTCAAGATGCAGAATTTAACCTAAACATCCTGTTTTATGCCCAGTGCCGATACTTTACTCTCATCCGTCGATGCACATGGGTCCCTGAGCCCAGTGCTCTCTGGTTCAGTTTCTTCGGAGGATGGCTGGTCCCTCACCTGCTGGCTCCCTGCTCACCGTTGAGGAGAAGGCTGCTTTCCTGACTGCACAGGCAATGGAGGGGATCTTGGAGGTCTAACCAGTGCCCCTGTTTAGCCCCATCCCAGCTTCTGCTGTGCCTCATGCCCCTGCTTCCTTAGGACTGGGGTGGAGGGCAGTCCCCAGAGGCCACATCTCTTTTTCCAGGGACATTTCCCTGCAGACAGGGTCATTTACATTTCCTCCCTTCTATTAAGTCAGTTGTCACTCTTCCATTTGCTAACACTTGTCCTATGCCTCAGACATCTTTCCCACTTGCCTTTCCCTGGTCGGTTTCCAGTGACTTGAATTTCACGTTAGTGTGATTTCAGGAGGGAACGGTGATAAAAAAAAATGGTGATCAATCCCCCATGTTTAGCCTGAAGATTTTAGTTAATATCTGCCCCCTCACACAAGATGTCAAGAGCCCCATAGGTAGGGATTCTGCCTGCTTTGTTCAACACTTTTCCCTGCACTTAGCAGCATGCCTAACTCATACTTGGTTCTTAGAAAATACTGACTACATTAAAAGTGTGGAGGATGGGCGGTTTTATATGTTCTCTTATTTAGCGGTATCTATCGCACTGGATGTGGGGAGGAGGTCCTCAGTCTCCTCCTCTGAAAAATGAGGAGCCTGGATCTGAATGAGGGTTATCAGATGATCAGATGTGGTGGGGAGGGTCATACCTGTGATGGCAGGAATAAAAAAAACCTCACAGGTGGACAATCTCTTGATTCCACCAACTCGAATGTTGGAGCATTAGGGAGACTGGCTGGATGCCCCCTGGAGAGGGGTGGGCGAGGGGTCCTGGGTGCCTGGCAGCAAAGAGGAAGGATCTGGCTCCAGCCCCAAGCTCTTCCCACTGTCCTCTTACCACACCCCCTTCCCAGAGCAGGCCTTGTGCCTCAGCTGGAGGGAAGGGGATGTCAGTGGGCACCGGAAACCTCTTTCCTACCTCCAGAAGGCCCGGGAGGGCTGCAGACCTCCGCACGGAGCCCAGATGCCGGTTGAGGAGCTAAAAATACAGCCATCGGTATCCCCCCCTCCCCCACTGTCTTAATGTGGTTTTAAAATAAGTCAGCCTCTTTCTAGTTCTCGCTTTCCACTGTCATTTATTTCAGTTTTTATCTCCACAACAAAAATTCCTTCCGACTTTTTTTTCCCCCTCTCTCCCTGTAATGCTCTTCACTTTCAAATGCTAATAATCTCCAGCTGTAAAAGGCTTAGAAGTGGCTCTAGATTGTTTGATCTTTGGCCTGTGATCTGCTTTCATCTCTCTGCTTTCAAATGTTACTTTAGATTTACTTTAACCTATTAACATGCTTGGTATTCACAGACACGCACTCTCCAAACCAGCTTCCCAGCACCCCCACCCCATCATAACTAGACGAGGAAAGTGAACCTGTAGGCTCTGGGGAGGCACATTTGGCCACGGTGGCAGGAGGCCTGGAAGGCAGGAAAGGCAGAGAGGAGCCTGCAGGGGAAGGCTGGACGGAGGGGAGGCCATATGGAAGGGGAGGGAAGGGAAGAGGGGCAGGGGACCAAGAAGGCCTAAAAGGAAAGGAAGGAAGAAGACAGCGAAGCCAGAGAGCGGGACAGGGACAGGAGGACAAGTCCCCAGCACAGAGCAGGCTGCCTCCCTGCTGGTTAGATGGCTATCTAACTCGGCTCTGGCGGTATGGGTAGTGGGGGGGACTGAATTAGTGCTTGAGGTTTCTTGCACCCACTGTTGTGCTGGAATGTCTGCGTGTTCGTTTCCACAGGAAACGCGAGGCATGAATATGGATGAAACTCCTCACTGAGACCACAAGGGTACGGCTCAATTATTTGCCATATAAAGTAGCACACGAGGACTCTTTGCGCTTGATCATCTCCTCTGTGTAGGGCTGTGCGCGCGCGCCCGTGTGTGCTGGGGGTGCACGCAGGCGGTTCAGGGAGGCACCGAATCATCCAGGCCCTCACGGCGGTCCTAGCTGCAGCTGGGTGCCTGGAGGGCCACTGCGGAGAGAGACCTCACTGGCCCGCGTGCCCCGCCCCCAACACAGGCCCGCATGTAGTGAGGGCTGTGACCCCACAGCCTCTGAAAGGACCAAAGGACAGAAGTCAGAGGAGGATTGGGCATACCAGAGGGCGGGAAAACCCAAAGGGCGGGAGCCTGAGGGCTCAGCTCTTCTGAGGCTGCTCCCTTGTCTGGGGAGAAAGCCTGAGCCACCCCTGCTCTGTGGGAAGGCAGGAAGGAGAGAGAGGCTGTCTGAAGCTGGGCTGAGAGGGACACCAAGGGAGGCCAGGGTCCCCTGGACAGTCTAGCCACGGAGGAGAAGCGGCCAAAGCTGCTGAGGCCAGAGGAGTGCAAGGAACCCTCACTTGACATCAGAGAGTCTACCGTTCAAGGGGCACCTGGGTGGCTCATTGGGTTACATAGGACTTTGGTTCAGGTCATGATCTCAGAGTTGGTGAGTTCGAGCCCCACATCTGGCTCTGTGCTGATAGCTCAGAGCCTGGAAACTGCTTCGGATTTTGTGTCTCCCTCTCTCTCTGCCCTTCCTCCACTCATGCTCTCTCTCTCTCAAAAATAAATAAACATTAAAAAAAAGTGGGAGGGGGCTGGGTGGCTCAGTCAGTTAAGCATCTGACTTAGGCTCAGGTCATGATCTCTCAGTTAGTGGGTTCGAGCCCCGCGTCGGGCTCTGTGCTGACAGCTCAGAGCCTGGAGCCTGCTTCAGATTCTGTGTCTCCCTCTCTCTCTCTGCCCCTCCCCTGCTCATATTCTGTCTCTCTGTCTCTCAAAAATAATAAATAAACTTTAAAAAATAGTCTGGAGTTCAAGTCATGGGCCAGTGACTTAGCCCCTCGGTTTCTCCATCTATGAAATGGACTAACAATGTTCTTACTGCAAAAGGTAGCTGTGGTGGTACAATAATCCCAGAAAGGACTGTATTTATATTTCACTGAGCGCTCATTATGCAGCAGGTACTATTCTAAGTGTGTTATTAATATTAACTCACTTAATCCCCATTAATCCTCATCTAATACACATTTAACCCTATCAGGTGGATACTATGATCAGCCTCATTTTGCAAATAAGGGAACTGAGACACAGAGGGTTTAACGCAATTTGCACAAGGTCACACAGATAGGGCTAGCATGTTTATTTTAGGTGAATTAGGCTCCTGGATTACACGTATGCATCTCTTACCTCCCTGAATCCTGCAACATCCCTCTGGGTTGGTATCAGGGCACCGGCTTTACATAGACCCTGGCAGTACAGCCTAGGTTCTCTGCTGCCCGGGCCCACACTCCTTATCACGCTCTGTTGTGAAGATGCTTTTCAACTGCAAACCGCTGAAAAATGTCAGTTATTATTATCCACAAATGTTGGGGGGTCTCTGCCAAGGGGAAGACTCATGTTCGGGAGTCGGAGGTCTAGGGTGCTAAGGAAGAGGCGGGGTTCCTATGGGGTGTCCCCTCTTCCAGACCTTCTCTAAGGCAAAGCAGAACCCTTCTGCTATTGCCAGTCAATTGCTTCTGGTCCTGAACAAAGAGGAAAGGGAGGGCAGCAGTTACCCCTGCTCTGTAACTCAACAGAATCAGCACAGAGAGGGAGGGGGAGCCAGGGACCCCCCCCCCTTACATCAGGGCACCACCTAGAATGAGCCAAATTCACAGCTGCCATGCCCCAGCTTCCCCCGGTGGAGGTGGTAACCAGGGCAGGGTTTACTGGCTGAGCCCACCTGTGGGCGCTTGTGGGAACTTTCAAGCTCCCCGCCCATCATAGCAAAAGGGAAATGGACCCAATCTGAATACTGTCACGTGCCAGGCATCACGTGAATTATTTCCACACCTATCAGTGCATTCAAACTCCACACCAGCCCTGTGAGTGAGGCATCCACCCGCATCATCATTTTGCAGGTGCCGAGAGTCTAAGTGACCGAAACATGGTCACACGGCCTCTTCTCTTTCCAGCCCACTGCCTCCCGCAGGGCTCAGCGGATGTAGATGGATGACAAAAATCCAGTAGTGAACGAGAGGGGAGCTTCGGCCTAGATACCAGTGCTCCCACAGTCCCACGTAGGTCTTGTTTCACCAGGCACCGGACATGCCTGGGGCAGGACCTGGATCTTCTTGTGACCCGGTAGAACCCAAGCGTAAAGTACTTCTCGTCGCTCTCTTTGGGCTCTGTCTCCTCCCGGCAGCTTGCCTGGTCCAGGGGTGGTGAGCCCTGCGTGTCAGTTGCCCACGTGATGAGAAGCCACTCAGCTCTTTTGCGTATTGACTGTGTGCCCCCAGATAAGTAACTTAGCCTCTCTGAGCCAGACTTTCATCATTTGCCTAAATAGTGAAACAGTGGGGGTGGTCCTAATGAACCAGGGCCCCAGAGGCGCGTGGCCCTGGGGCCTCTGTGTCTTCTGCACGGTCTGTGGGGTTCTCCCTTGGGAGGGTTCCATCCGACCGACTCCCTACCTGTAGGGCTGGTGATGAAGGGGGTAAGAACATTTGTATTGTCCACTTTTCTGTCTCCAGCAAAGCTCAGTTGCTCTGCCACCCGCCCCACAGGGCAGGCTGTCTTGCACAAGAGAGGCTATTTTCAGAGGCGCCTGCCGGGGGCATCATGAACACTGGAAAACCCAGCTTTGGCTACGAGGCCTCCCCCCTGAGACCCAGTTGACAGCTCTTTGGTTCAGGAGGAATCCTTCTAGGTTGCTGTGGGAGTGGGGGTGACGTCGGGGGTTGATTAGGATGCTTGTTGGAGCAACTCCTTCGCCTCCTCTGGTACCAGCCTCACCAGGAGGCCGGGATCTGGGAGGGGCGGGGGGTACCGAGGAGAAGCCCCCTTCCTTCACACCCACCCACCAGCCCAGAGTCACTGGAAAGAGCAAATGCAAATGGATCCAAAGCACAATACCCAGAATACACTGCCTCGCGTCCTAGGGGCTCACTCTGAGTTAAAGCTGGGCTCCTCCTGGGGGCTGACATTTTCCCTGGTTCAAACAACATCTGTGGCTCGCTGAGCTTGGTGAAAGGTGAAGGAACCAGCCTCTGCCACTGCAGACTCCAGGGAATCAGAAAAACCAGCTTTGCAGGTCCCTCCCACCTGGAGGGGCTCCTGGGCCCACGCCTGCACTCGCACGCCCATACACACACACACATACACACACACGTGACCCCACAAGCACACACTCGTGGTAACCCTCACAGCCACTCAAAAGCCCACACGTGTGCATTTCCACATGCGTGCAGACTCACATGTGTGCCCTTTCATAAACACTCACCTCCACCCAAACCCACACACACGTGTGCACACACACATCTGTCCACAGACAACGTGCAGACTTCTATGAACCAGAGGAGAGGGCCCGCCCCCACCCCATCCACACCCCACACCCCAAGATCGGACAGGGGCAGACCCAGGAGAGGCTGCTGAGGGTTTGAAATAAATGCATTCTGAAAAGAAGGACTGTCTTCCCCTCCAGGCTCCAGGCCAAATCTCCAAATGAAATCAGGCCGGGGAGAAATGAACAACCGAGATGCACAAAACAATGTGAAGAAGAAACGAATAATAATATAAAAAAAAAAGGTGAGAGTTATTTTTCAGCTCACTGGCTTTCTGAAAAGTAATATAAAGTTGAGCAGCGTCTTCTTGGAATCGACCTTTCTGAGCCGAGACCCAGGCCACACGCACATCTCTTTCCTCTCTTTCTATTACCCGAAATTTGTATGGTTTCATCTCCTCTGATTTTCTTTCCCTTTGTGCGCCTGTGCAAACCCCTTGTGTCAGGGGCCTGTTCCTAACCCTGCAGCCCTGCCATGCCAGAATGTGTCTCCCGGGCCCCCTGCAGGGCTGAGAATTGAGAGCCTCCTCTACAGCTCCCCCACCAAAGTTGAGGCCTCGCCCCCCACCCAGCTCTGTCCTCCTCCCTGCCCAGAAGAGGCTGCAGCCTTCCCCCTCCCCGCCTCCCCCACAACGGCCTCCTGGCCTTCTTTGTTCCAGAGACAATTCTCTTGCACACTGTTCTTTGAAGCAGAGCTGGAAAGGGAAGGGTGGATGGACCCAGGGGTGCAGGCTCCTGGTGCAGGGAGGGCTGGACGATGCTTGGTGAGCGCACGAGAGAGCAGGTGAATCCTAAGAAGATTCTGTCTTCTTCAGGGCATGGTGGGAAAAAAAAGTGTCCATTCTATTGTTTTTGTTTTAATTTTTTTTTTTAACACTTATTTAGTTTTTGAGACAGAGAGAGAGCATGAACAGGGGAGGGTCAGAGAAAGAGGGAGACACAGAATCTGAAACAGACTCCAGGCTCTGAGCTGTCAGCACAGAGCCCGACGCGGGGCTCGAACCCACAGACCGTGAGATCATGACCTGAGCTGAAGTCGGACGCTTAGTCGACTGAGCCACCAGGTGCCCAAAAGTGTCCATTCTAAAATGCTCAGGGGAAAAGGATACGGAAGGGGAGATCCAGAATTTTCCTAACAATTATGACATTCCCTGTAGTTGCAGTCAGTTCTCCACTAGAAGTGATCCTGGAAGAACCTACCTAATGGTGGCCCCTTTGCCTGCCGTCTCTGCCACCTCCCATCCCCAGACACACATACTCACGTACCTGCATATGTAGACAGACACACAAACTCGCATGCACGAGCACCTCAGACACATCCATACAGATGCCTGCACACACACACACACACACACACACACACACACACACACAGAGCCGTGAAGCAAACATCCGTATGCACTCCTCAAATGCACATGCATGTACACCCTCAAACACATCCACATAGATACACACACATGCACTCCTTACACACACTTGCACAGACAGGGGTCCATGCACTTTCACCTGCATGGTTACCTTTTCGAGCTGCACTGGTGCCTTTTCCAGTGAACTGTGTGTCTACTCTCAACTTTCTGCCTTAAGGAGGTGGGGGACCTAATGGCTTTTGCAATAAAACATCAAATGTGGGGAGAAAGTGCCTGGTGGCATCTTTGCTACAAAGGTGAGTCAGGGGTGTCTGGCTAACCCCCGACTCGGGGTGGAATGGCTTCAGGAGGACCAGTCACACACCTGTCCTTGGTCCACCCAGCAAGATAAGAACACTGATGGATGCGTGTGAGGTGGGGAAATGAGGGCATGGGGATGTAGGGAAGGTAATTGAAGTTTTTCTCTGGAAGAGACTAAGAGGTCTAGTGTAGCTAATTCCGACGTGTATCGCCTGATGTGTTCTTGTCCTCGCTCAGCCGGTGGTTGAAGCCCAAGATGAGCCGTGGGAGGGGCTCAGGACATGACACGATGTGAGGGGTGGACTGCTGTGTGCCAACAGTGGTGATGATTGACGTGAGTAAATCCTTGGCTTTTTGCCTAAGTGCTTCCTCCTTTGTTACGTCATTTCTATCATCACGCTCACCTTGTCATGTAACGGGAACGGGTATTAGTATGCTTATCTTATAGATGAGGAGTCTGGGGCTCAGGGAAGGTGAGCAGCTTGCCAGGTGAATGAGTCAGGCTGGGCTAATCACTGTCACAAACAGCCCCAAAATCTCAGTGGGTTAGTTCCGTAAAAGTTTTGCAGATATGCCCCTCCTCAATGAGAACTGGAAAGGATGCCCCGCTTGATACAATGTTTCTGAGACCCAGGCTCCTTCTTGGGGCTCTGCTATTCTTGGAGTGCTTGGAGTGTCTTGACTTGGCAGGTGCACTGAAAAATCAAGTGAGGGGTCTACGCATAATGCTTTTTATGGGTGGGGCCTGGGAGTGGCGGCGTCACCTCTGTTCATGTTCCATGGGCTAGAACATTGTCAGTCACCTGCTACGTCTACAGCAGGGAGGCTAGGGAGTGTCATGAAGCTGTGGGTCCGGCAAGAAAAGGAGAATGAGGGTACCAGTGAGTCCTGCCACGCCCAGACTCACACAGCCCACAGCAGTGAAATCAGTCCTCAGACCTAGGTTCTGATCCTGGTACTGTGCTTTTCTCTTCCGGCGCTTTACTTTGAAGAAGTAAGGTTTTTCAGTGGAGTCATGTTCCTGGTCTTTTTCTAGGTCTGGAAGTCCTTACATCGATAAGAATCCAATGATAACGACAACAGTATCTCCCTGTTATATGCACATCTCATTTCTTGTCCCCACCACCCCATAAGTTACATAGGATAACCCTACCTTCTACTTGAGGACAGTGCAGCTCAGGGAGATCAAGGAGCTTCTTTGAGGTTGTGGGAAGGTGACAGTGTGAGTCTAAGCCTTTCTGGCTCCCGTCTTCTGTCTTTCTCCCATGCTGCTATGGCTCCCGCTGGACATGGGATTGGGGTCTGAGTAGGTGGAGAGCCAGCCTTCTTAATCCCGCAGGGCAGACATCCCTGACGATACTTAAGTAGGATGCAAATGCAGTGGGCAAAGTTCTCGCCGCCTTCTGCGCTGGAAAGCATCTGGAGAAATATGAGGGCCTAGGCCATTGTAGCTTAGTTTACTTGGCAGCCATGCACCTGGAGATATTAGCAGGGCTGGGAACCAACTTCCAGTTGTATGATCTTGAGCAAAGCTGGGTTGGGAGTCAAGAGATATTCATGCGGAAACCCAGCCATAGTTAACTGTGCAACTGTGGGCCTCTGAATGGAGGCCCGTGTGGTTCAGTACCGCACCCTCCCCTCCTGCAAATTGGAGATGGTAGTTACCACCCTCGTTCCAGACCCTGCTATGCTGCATAGCCTCCTAATTGGTTTCACCAAGGCCACACCATTTGTCTTTAATCCCTTCCTGCACATCCCACAAAGTAACCTTCTTAACCACACACCCCTTGATCGTGCCTCTCTTCTGCACAACGACGTTCATGACTGCCATAACGTCAAGCTCCTCAGTTAGCCCGTCATGGTGCTTGATACTCTGCCCCTACATTACCCATCTAGACGGATCCCCCTTGACTCCCCTAAATGTATCACATGTTATTCTTGGCGTACTTTCTTCTTCCTCCCTCGGACACCCCACTGCCGGGGTGCCCTCATCGCTAGCCTACCTGTTGCTACTTCTAAGATACCGCTCTGGATCACTCAGCACAACCTCCACCCCTTCATCATTGTGATAGTACCCTCATGCCGTGCTTCCCTCCGAGGCACCCTTGATGCTGTGGTCTTCTGAGAATGTTTCTTATCTTTTTCCCCAGCTGTGAGCTTCACCAGGGTGAGAGTTAAGTCTTGTACAATTTGTACCTTTGGATATAACAGCCCTCAGACAATAGTTTATGCATGAAAAAATAATCAGGAGATAGCCAAGACTTTCAGTGATATGCAAATGAAAGATATGGCTTAGGAGCCATCGTTAAAGTCGGTTTGACTGTTTCCTGCCAGCTGGGGGTTGTCAGGCAGTTTCCACATCTTGAAGGGCTGCTAACCTCCTGGGTTTATCTGCAAGGCTGCATGGGTGGGACCTCCAAGCAGAGACCTGTGGCACTTTGAGCTATGTATTCTCTGCCCACTGGGGGCTTAGAAGCCCAGGCCCCCAACAGGCTCACCTGTCGGGAAGTAAGCTAGGCAGGTGCATTTGGGGAGCTCCTCAAATTGAGCTCTGTTGGCTCTCTGCCTGCACTCCGCCCCTCCACACCAGGCCAAATTGTAGGCTGGAGCCAGTGGAGAAAGTAATGGATTGGAACCAGGATGCTCAGGTTAAGTGGGCCACTTTGTGGAACTCATCCATAATCCTGCTGGAGCCCAGAGAACAATACGTTAATTAGAGCCGACAGCACTGCTCCCACCAGCCATCCATCCTGCCTGTGTCTGCAGGGCCTTCCCCATGGACACGCCAGCCCACTCCCTTCTCTGAAAGAGATTTATTCATTATCAATGTTTGTCTGTGAGAGGGACCCGGTGGGGAGGGAACAGGATTCCAAAGGGGACGGGATATGAAAGGGCTGCTGGCAGCTGACGAATGGGTGTGTCTGGGGGCTGGAGATGGGTGTTCCCAATTAGGAGGATGAGGCGAGCCCACTGGATTGGACAGGGGAAGAGGTGAGTCAAATGGAATTAGAAGAAATTCAGTAAACATGTCCAACAAGTGGTCCTTGTGGGAGTTTTAGCTTTGGACCTAGCTCGCTTTAAGCCACAGACGATGGGGAAGGGGGGGGCGGGTAGAAGACAGAAAACAGATGAAGTCCCTTTATCTATAGTCTACCCTAGTGCTTCTTTGCAGAAGCACTCAAAAAGTGCTTGTTGGGTGAACAAATGTCTTTCATGGCAGCCAGAGGGACTTAGGTCGGACATCATAAGGAGCTCTTTGCCAGGGAGCAGAAACTAGGGATGAGAGACCAAAAATGGGTTCTGGGGTTCCTACCCAGCAAGAATCTTTTGAAAGAAAGGCAGACATATTTCATTTGTCCTGGATCCCATTATCTGCGTATCATGTGGAATTTTGGAGGAAATGGGAGAGGACCAGCTCTCCTCAAGAAAGCGGGACAGCCTAGGGAGGTAGGGAGTCAACAGGTCAGAGATGGCAAGGGACTAGCGGGCCTGTGGCCCACTGACCAAAGCTCCAAAGGGAATGAGAGGGGTGAGCAGTGGGCTGCAATGTCCTCACGAACTCATCTCACAAAGGGATATGGAGG